ATTGGTTGTTGTGCTGCAGGTATGGATTTTACTAAATTTCAAAACAGAAGGTTGATGTTTGTTTGTTTTTTTCTCCCACGACACATCCTTGGATCTCTTATACGGTTTTATGTAAGCTACATTAAAACCTTTCTGTAACAGAATTTGAAAGTATTGAATGTGTCTGATCTGTAGTTATCTATATGTCAACAGGCAACTTAGGAAATCTCCCTCTTATTATAATCCCTGCGGTTTGTAAAGAGAGAGCGAGCCCCTTTGGAGATCCTGATGTTTGTCGCACTAATGGAATGGGCTATGCTTCACTTTCAATGGCAGTAAGTTTCAATATGTAACTAATACAGATCCCAAAAAAAAAAAAAAGAAAAAGAATTGCTGCTCTATGGACGTTGAGGATAAATATGAACAAGTAATAGATTTTTAAGCATATTTCAGCGTATATTATCAGAAAACACGAGTGCAGTTCACTGAATTAATTTCTATGAATTTCGACTTATTTGATTTCATGCAACTTGTTGATGACAAATGGAGTTTTAATATATTATTTCATGTTCCTTGTTCGTATATCCTCTTCAGATAGGCGCAATTTATCTGTGGTCGTATGTATACAATGTCGTTAGAGTCTCTACAATAAACTCAATGGAAGTTGAAATAGTGGACTCTCCTATGAGTAAGTCCCGAAGAGAAGGCTCATCTGCTGGATCAGCCAGTAATGGGGCAAGAGAACCTTTACTTGATTCAAGCAATGAAGACCGTGAAATTGTACTTACTTTGCCACCAGATAGGTTTGGAAATAGACCTCAGGTAGTTTGTCTTCTTCTAATATGGTTGTATCTTTATATCTTTACTCTACTTGTAAGAATATATTGATTATAATTCCAAAAGTCGCTGGATTAGTAGAACCACCGTAGCACTTGAAGGAGAAATTAAAGAAAACCATGAATACAAAGATAAAGGAATGAAGAAAAACGTACATTTTTCCAAAACAATTTTCCTGGGGGAGTTGAAAATGACACTAGACAAGGCCTAAATATTTTTCATCTAATATCAGTAAAAATCTATTAACAATACAAAACTTTATAGTTTCCTAATTACTAAATTTAATTTTCAGCAGTACTACCAGCTTTTTGGAATGTATGAAAGCCTAGGACAGGAACTCTTAGTGAAACCCATTTTTCCCGATAGAATATTGGAATTCCTATAAATGAAAATTGTCAAAATAATGGGACAGGAAAATGGCGAAGATGTTAGTGATTTAATCTAATCATATGCTTTCGCTTTTTCTTTATGAAGCCTTTGATGGAATGGTCCAGTAATGATTGTTTGTGACAAGTGAACATGAACTGCAGGTGTCCTTTTTAGATAGTGTGAAAGAATGCTTCGAGAAGCTCTTCGAAAAGATGAACCTGAAGAAATTATTTGCACCTTCGACAACAGGAGCGGTATTGTTTTCAAAAATAAATTTAACCTTGGAAACAAACTTTTATATGAGAAGCTGCTTCATGTTGCTGCATAAAATATTTTAAGGATCATTTTGTTCCGAGCTTATGCACATCTTCCGAATATATTTTGTAAGACCGGTCCTTATCTTATTGTAGAACCTGTTTTATAGATATAGCATCATGTAAAATTCAGCCAATGTTGATTTGTAAGTATGTGCAAATTGAATAATGTATATTGCTAGAAAACTAACAAAATTTAAAAGTGTGCATGTAGCAATCTAGCAATCAATGTAGCAAAGCTTCCTTTTTTTTTTTCTTTCTTTCTTTCTTTTGACTCACATGATGAAGTGTCCTCTTCATAGACCTTGTAGACATGAAACGGTGTGTCTGGACTCTTGTGTATGTCAATTTGGTTGGCTTGAGAATGAGTATACGATGAAAATCTTACCAGTGCAACTGTTTTTTGACTTTTTTTTTTTTT